CCCCCCCCCCCCCCCCTCCTCTTCTCTTATTGCCCTCCCTCTGCCTTCTCCTGCCTAGACGCCAATCTGGCCCAGGACTCCGCTCTCTTTGGTGGTCTTATCCCCTTGTGCGAGGATGTCATTAGTAGCATTGGGTCTGGCTCTGGGGGTCTCGGCTCTCCCATGCCTCCCTTTTTCCCGCCAGCCGACAGCTCTGCATCCTCTTCTGGCAGTGCTTCGGCCCCGGCTTCGGGCTCGGCCCCAGCTTCGGGCTCGGCTCCTGGCAGCGGCTCGGCCCCGGCTCCTGGCAGCGGCTCGGCCCCGGGTTCCAGGCCGGATGAGGGTGTCCCCTCACTGTCCGGTTCAAATTCCATGTCATCTGGGCCCGAACATACGACGCCTGTGGATCCAGGCCCCGCCAAGGCATACGGCGTCCCCCTGGCCGATGACTGGCATGCGCGACTCATGTCTCGCTGGTCTCAGGATGACGAGATGTTTGCCAGTACGCGTTGTTGGCCCTCCCCTCGCCGCCCTGAAGCCCATCCCGTTTCCCAGCCGAATCTCACCGCTGGTCCCCCCCCCCCCCCCCCCCCCGTCTCCAGTGCTATCTTGCCCTGCCAGCGAGCTCAAACACAGTCCCGGCTATTGCGGCTGTGGCATGCGCGACCCCCCCGCATCGGTGACGCCCCCGGTGGACCCCACCGACGAGGAATATGGTCGTTACTGCCTGCGTGCGCTCCCTTTCCCCCATACCTCCGCCGCCTCCCCTACCGCATGCTGCACCCCACCCTGCCACCCCGCCAGCCCCCTTGTTCACCATCTCCATGACGTCATTCATCTCTCCCCCCCCCCCCCCCCTCGGATGCACACACAGCCTCCTGCCTGGCCCTCGAGCTGGAGAACGGCAACCAGCCAACCGGGCTGCCCTGTGACTGTCTGTTGGCCCTGTTCGAGGTATCCATGGACTTTTACATCCCCATCGGCGTGACGCATCCCATGGTGTCGGTGGTGCCGCTCCTGCGCATGGACTACGACATCTATGGTGCCATGCTTTTCGACGGGCTACTCTTGCCGGAGGGCTTCTCCTGTGCCTTCTTCACCGGCGACGAGAGCGCCTCCTCGGATTCCTCCGGTTCGGAGGACGTCCCCTGGATTGAAACCCCCCCGGGCATCATCGTCGTTGTGATGCTCAGTCTGGCCGGTGCCGGGAGTCTGGGCTTTGGCGCATACTCGCTGATGATGCGCCTGCTGGTGGTCCAGGTGGGTGGCCCCACTCACTTGACCTTCCTCCGGCCAGTCGGCTCACCGGACGACGAGGAGGCCAGCGACTCCGACAGCGAGTTGGGCCCGAGTTTCGGCGGCGTCGAACTCCACGAGCTGGGCCCCGTCCGACGCCTGTCCTCGGATTCAATCATGTCCGAGGTGTTCATGGACCTGGATGGCATCTCGTCCGACAAGCAGGGCTCGGTTTGGCCACCCTCCAGTGGCGACGATCGTGACTCCTCCCTCGAGGACATGGTCCGTGAAAGTATCCGCCGAATGGAGTCCCATCCCGAGTATGCCCACGGGCCTGCGCCGATGATCGGCCGGTATGCCCCGACTGTCCAGGATCCCATTGCGACTCCCGTGTCCTTCATCCAATTATCGGGATCCGACGAGAGTGCCTCCCTCTCGGAGTACGGCCAGCAAGTGCAATGTCTCATCGATGAGACTGCCAGCAGTCAGGCAGTGGTCGATATGTTGCTGGGCGTTGACTCCCAGGGCTTTGCCCTGATCCACTATGCCATCCAGGCCGATGATGTCCACTTGGTTGAACTACTGGCGCGGGAGCTCTCGAGTGCCATCCAGCGCATTTACCCGCACGGCACCTATGGGGCTTCCCGTCCGCCCGCTGTCTGCACGGCTCCCCCCGAGCCGAGTCTCATCACCAGCAATCCCTCCCTCCTTCAGAACCTCCAAAAGCACCTGCTCTCTGGCGATCTCAAGAAGGCGGCGCTGCTCCGGCTGCTGGACCTGCGTAATCCCGCCGGACAGACGCCCCTTCATCTTGCCGCGGCTGGTCGCCTTCGATCGATGACCTGGGCCCTGGTGGGGATCTTCACCACCGCTCAGCTTGACCCGATCATGGTTCAGCACATCCTCCTGGCCGTCGATCGGTCGGGCAACTCGCTCTTGCATGCGGCTTGCTCCTTCCACCGGTCGCATGCCATTCTGCCGCTGACCATCGTCGACAATCCGGCGCACGCCGGCTTCACCATCTGCAAGCAGCAGACCCTCAATGGCATGGCCGGTCACATCTTGTCCTCCATCGGCCGGGAGCTCATCAAGGTCGGCAGCCTTGGTCTGGCCCTGGCCATGGTCAACCTCACCCATGAGACGCCGCTGCATGTGGCCTGCTCGGCACTCGACATCTCGGCCATCCGGTGGATTTTGAAGAACATGATCGGCGGCTCGCCTGCCGCCTCGCCGGCCGACTTCCCCCCCACTCCGCACAGTGCTTCGCCGGCCAATGGGCTGTCCAGCGGCTCCCCCACGCCCTCGGGTCATGAAATCTCGCCGGAGATGTTCGGCCTGAAATCCTTCTCCCTCAATGCTCGGGATATCTATGGCGACACGGCGATCGTCATGACGGTCCGCGCGTCGGCCCTACTGCATGATAGCTGTGCATTGGCCATCGACCGAGTGCTCCGGGTCCCGGAATGGACCTCCGGACCGACATCCCCCCTTCGTCAGGAGATCAGCCAGTACCAATATTATTTGGACCACTTGTCGTCGCAGTGCCTGCAACAATTGCTAGCCTGCCCCGGAGTGCAGGTTCTCCCGCCGGGGGAGTTCCTCAGCACCGAGATGCCGGTCCAAAGCCACTCGCCGCTCTTCTGGGCCTCCTCCCTCAACCTTCCCATGACCTTGTCGCTGTTGGTGCACCATGTGGCGGTTCTCTCGCAGGTGTCGCTCCTGGACAAGGCCAGTGGCGATGTGATGCCCTTCTACTTCCAGGCTCTGGAAGTGGCCATCCGCAATTGCTCCTCCCTGGCCCTACGCATTCTCCTGATGCCCTTCTCGCCGCGGGCTTCCATCGCCACCGCCGCCGATCATGACCATGTGTTGGCCTTCCTCTTTGGTCGGGCATCTCCCCATGCCGGTCAATATGCCCAAGGCGCCACGCAGGGCAGCATGGCCGGCCCCCTTCAGCAGGCACACCTGCTGGAGCTCAATCCCACCCTCGATCGGCAGCCCCTGTCCCTTGGCCGGGACTCCATGCGCCAGCTTCTCCACACGGCCTGGCGCCTGGACGAGGCCGGGCGGTCCTTTGTCACCGGGCTCCTGCTGCAGCACACTCTCCTGCCGGTGGCCAGAGGCAGCTTGCCAACCGGCTGGCTGGTTGGGCCGTTGAATACGCATTTCCCGGCCCTTCTCCGGGCGACGGGCGCATCGCCGCTCGACCTGCTGACCGCACGCAACCTGGTCACCCCCCTGCTGGGCCTGCCTCTGTCGGTATATGCTCAAGCTTTGGCCGAGTTGTTCAGCATGCAAATGCGTGAGGGGGACCTTTCGGCCTCGGGTGCCACGCATGCTGGTGTGTCGCCCGGCACTGCCAGTGTCGCCGACAGCCCTGCCACCACCATCAGCACCACGTCCTCTCCGGGCGATGCGATTGTCCCCCTGACCCCGGCATCGGATGCCTCGAACTATCTCTCCGATGGTTATTACAATGGGCACTTTGCCGATGTGGACATGCTGTTCGATCCGCAGCACTCTTCCTCCTCCACCGGAGGCCACTTCTCGTCGCCCCTGCCGGACCATCCCTTCCCGGGTCTCGGTCGGCGGCATTCGAAGGACTTCCTGTCCGCCGATGGCCATGCGATGGAGGAGGACTCGCACACCACCACCCCCCCCGGGGCCGCGCTGCAGGACTACTTCGACATGCATTCCGCCGACCTGGCCACCTACTCGTCGGCCATGCATGGCACCCAGCCCGGCCCCCTGGGAATGGACTCCCTGCTGGCCTCGCCCTCGTCATTCAGCGGGACACCCACGCAGAGCTCCTCCTCGCCCGGTAAGAGCGGCCAAGAGGAGCAACCTCGCTCGGCCTCTTCTTCACAATCTCCCGGCCCCATCGGTGCCAATGCATCTGGCGAGCGTCTCGCGCAGCTTCTCTTTGCCCTGGGGCAGGATGGCCGCGGGGCGATCCACGCCGCGGCCGCCAGTGCCGACCTGTCGGCCATCGACCTGCTGCTGGGACTGGCGTATGTCCTTGGCCCGGCGGCCGCCTGTCGCTTGATCACCCTGGCCGATGCCAATGGCAACACCCTGGTCCACTTGCTGTGTGCTCACTTCCCGGAGACGCCGCTTGCCCAGCCATCCGGCCATGGGTCCGCGATCCCGCAATCGGTGGCATGCCTGCGCCTGGTGTTGGACATGTACCCCCATTGCCGGATGCTGTGCATGGGCTCCCTCGCGGAGGCTCCCCCGCCGGCCCCGGGTCACCACTGGCCGACTGCCACTCAGATCCTGCGCTCGCGCAATCGCCTTGCCCAAACCCCCCTGCACATGGCGGCCTCCTCGCTCAATGTCCTGGCTGCCGGGATCCTCCTGTCGCACTGTGTGGAGGTGGACTCCGCCGATCAGGACGGACGAACCCCCATCCACTATGTGTGCTCCGGTTGCTACTTCCCCGACGAGGAGGGGGGCGCCGTTGTGTGCCGGCCGCATGAGCGCCAGCGTCAGCTGGCGGCCGCCGGCCCGGCCGGCGCATCTGCCGACTGTGCTGACTCTCCGACCGGTTGCCTGGAGCTCAGCCACCGCCTGGTTCAGCTGCTGCTCAATGCCTCGGCCAATCCCACCTCGGTCGATGGGCACGGGCAGAATCTCCTGCACATGTGCATCGTGGCCGGAGCCATTGGGCCCCTGTGTGCCCTCTTCGGCCTGGAAATCGGTCCGTTGGAGCGGTCGACCGCCGCGTCCTACCCGGTTGGCGGCCACCCGCTGTTCACGTACCTGGGCGTGTCGACCGGCAAGGGCGATGCCCCCACCGACCGGGTCCCCGGCCTCCGACACAGCCAAAGCATCCAGCTGTGGTTCTCCCAGGATGCCAATGGCGATACACCCCTCCATTGGGCCTGCCGGACGGGCTTCTTGGCAGCGGTGGATCTCTTCATCCTAGCTCGGAGCCTGGTTCCCAGCTCGCTATCCACCCTGTCGGCCACCTCCGGGCCGTGGTTGGTGGCCAACAGTCGCGGCGAAACCCCCCTCTTCCTGGCCTGCCTGGAGGGGCATGCGCTGGTGGTCCTCAAGATCCTGCTGGCGGCCTTCGCCGACTCCGGAACCATCCCCCAGGTGGCCGGGCTGAGGGCCCTCTCGTTGGAGGGCCTGCAGCCGCGTGCCCTGGGCGTCGAGGCCACGAAGTCCCTGAAGCGGGCTCTCTCCGAGCAGCTCGACATGCAAGGCCGGAGTTGCCGGTCGGTGTCGGGCCCCGATGTGCAGGCGGTCTTCGCTCTGATCGCCACCGACCGGCGTCTCTTCCCACGGCAGCCGGTCCAGCTGGTTTAATCAATAGACCTGTCACCTTCCCCAGATATTGTTGCTTGCCATCCGTGCAAAGGGGGGGGGGGGGTGGCACCAAGGAGGGCTCTCCAACACGGGTCCGACCGGTCGGCAGGTGAGGCGCCCCGGGCGGCGGGGGTCCTGGCTGCGTGTCAGCGGGGGGCAAAATCCAGGTGGGTGCGCGGGGCGTGGACGTGGGCCAAAGGCTTCCGCTTGTTCGGCAGGGTATCACCGGCGGTGTCGCCCTCGCCTGACGCTGCCCGGTAGTTGGGCAACACACCTGGGGGCCACAGCCGTCCGGTGGTCTCGGTAAGGAGTGTGGGCAATGTCGGCAAGGCAGCTGCCAAGAAAAAGGAGGATACCCGGAGAGTGGAGCCTCGCGGGTGCTTGCTGCGGGGATCCCTCGGTAGTCATCCGGTTCCACAGGCACCCATGGTGTGTCCGCTGTTCAGTGAGGGATGTGCCACGCGAGGGAGGTCGATTCCACCGGCCAGGCGGCCGCCTGTGTTGCTGGCAAATCCCCCTAGTCAAAGAAGACGCTCGGAGCAAGTGGCCGTGGGAAGGGCAGGGAGGAGGCCGCAGCAAGAAGGGCGCGACCAAGCCGGAGCAAGCCCTGGCCGGAAGACGGCGCTGGTGGACTTGGAGCCGGTTGGGCCTCTGGGAAGAGGGCCCAGGGCACCGGTGGCCTGGCGGACTGTCGGCGCTGAGTTTAAACGCTCACATGGATCGAGGGCCATCAAAGGCAGGCTAGTCGCATAGGCTCTCTTTCAAGGCGATGCCCCTACGAGAGAGCGGTGTGGTGGTGGTGAAAGATGGCGGAGGAGCCGACACCAGGGTGGTCAGGTGCCAGATGTCCGCGCAGCCCGATGGGCCAGGAGGATATCGTGCCACAAGGGCCCGGGGCATGAGGAAAGGAGGGCAACACGCTCTTGCTCTCCCAAACACCTCGGGTCCCGAGCAGGGGAGGAGGGATAGGAAAAGAACCAACATGCGGCGCTGGCGTCCCAGGCCAGAGTGCGGAGGCATCGGCTTGCCAGGGCCCAAAGGACGAGTGAAGGAAACGGGTCAGAATGAGGAGGAGGGCAATGTCCGAAGCTGGCGCTGGTCGCGGCGCGGCATAAAGCATGCGTGGCGGCTGCCGGGAGGCAGGATGAAGGACCGAGCTCTGACAACATAGCATGAAATGTACAGTTCATCGTAAAGGAATATAATACTAGCGATATGTTTTGTAAGACACAATAATTGTCACTAGGGTCCGATAAATGCAAATTCCGGGCACTTTTTTGTAATAAAACAATCTATTGAAGTAAACAATATCACATCATTAAACATACACATCTAGCAATTTTTCCATATTATCTTCATCAACAATTAATGGCACTCTCATGCCTCTGACCGCTCCGGGTCTTCCCGCCCGGGTGTTGTTGTTCCCGGGTTCGGTGTCATTGACATCGGCTTGCCTGCGCCTCGCCACCCTCTTCCTTGCCAAAAACTGCCTCTCGCGGGAAAGCCGCCTGTGGGAGGACCCTGGCCAGTTGGATGCCCATACAAGCCTGAGTACTCTTGAGGGGGGGATCGCTGGCCGACCGGCTTTCATTGCTCCAGCTCTCTCGTCGGCGCTTACTACTGTGGATTGTCGGCTTCCGGCTTGCCATTCCCGGGGTGCCCTTCCTTATGTTTAATTGAGCTTCGGCTTTGATCGCCCCAAATTAAGCCCACCCACTCGCCTTCCCTCCGCCCCTCCCAGCACCGAGGGCAGCTGCCCTCCGCCGGGAGGGGAACCCCTTTTCCCGACCGTGCTCTGCCTGGTCCCTTCGGGAGATCTTCCCTTTTTGAGGATGCCCGATCGACACGGCCTCGGTCCATTCTCGTCGTGTCAGGGGTCCCCACCTTCTTGCGCGTTTCTTGCCTGTTGGTCCCACCTCTGGGGTGTTGAATTGGGGAAGCACAAAATCCTTGCCCGGAAGAGGTATTCCTGGCTGATGGTCCGCCGTCCGCTCCTCGTGGGAGGATGCCTTGGCTTATCGAGGCTGGCAGGGATGGGACCCTTTCGGTGCGAGATCTCGCCGGCTGGGGGTCGTCTGTCGGCCAAGCCTTCGCACAGGCACTTATGGGGGACGGTGCCTGGCAATGCGCCTCCCCAGGAGCATGGCCCGGTGTTGGCGGTTCGCGCATGAGACCTCCCTGCCGGGGTATGAGTGTGCGGTCCACCAAGGAGGCCGCCAGCCTTGGAGTCCCCCGTGGTCTGGCCCGGCCGAGTCCTCCATCCCACGCGTCACGAACAGCCAAAAAGTCACACGGTGTATTGGACAGCTAAAACTGAAAAACATGCCCCTCCCTTCGTGACGGCCAGCATGTGCAAGGGTCACTGCTGTTGGGAAATAAAGTCCAACTACTTGCGGAAGAGGACATCCAGCACCTGGGAGATGCCGGTCTTCGGGCCATTGGCCGAGGTCGAGCTCCGGGTGAAGCCGTAGCTGGCACGCGAGCGGAGTCCCCGCTCCAGCTCCTCCACATCCAGGGAGTTGCTCTCATCCGAGTCGAGGGCGCCAAAAAGAGCAGTGACGGTGGCCTGGCCGAGGGAGAAGCCAAAGCAAACTGGGGGTGTACAATGTTGTGAGTGGCGCCCGCACGGCGCGGTGGCACTGGCGGATGTGTGGCCATTTCCCATCCCAGCAGGGGACTCTTTCGAATACGCACTCTTGATGGCGGCCGAGAAATCCTCCTTGGTGAAGAGACCGTCCTCGGAAGCAAAGCGGATCTGCAGGCAGCGGATGACATCGTCCAGGTTCCGGACAACCTGGTCGAGGCGGACAAACTCGTCGAAGGAGATGCGAGCTTCACCCACCGGGCACCGTGTGCCAAGCGCAGCCATGGCCAGACAAAGGCGTGTTAGTGCGGGCCTTTCCCCGAGCCGGGAGCAGCGTGTCCAGGGGGAAAAAAAAAAGCCCCTCCTGGCCAATCGACACACCATTCAGCAGGTCCGGATGCTGGGACAGCCGGGCCAGACGGCGAACCGACCGGAACTTGTGAGCATCCTGCGAGTAGGCCGCCAGGGCCCGGGCCAGGGCGGTGGCCGAGATGCAGTCATCAGCCATGTCGCCCGGCTCGCGGTAGCAGATGAACTCCAGGCGGAGGACCGCGTGACGGAGGTGCAGCAGGGCCTCCTCAAAGCGCTCGAGCGACACGCCAGCCTGGTTGTCCGACTCGCCGAGAAGGAAAGTCACCAGACGAGAGGTGGTGGACTTCGTGCACGGGGCCCGACAAGGGGACATGGCCAGCGCCGGGACCATCGGGCGAGCTTCAGCATCAGTGTCATGTGCAGGGCTGGGCCCAGGGCGGGGAGGAGGATGGCGAGGGGGGAGGGGGCGAATCGCGTACCCCGCGGAGGAAAGACGACTGCTCGGCCTGGCCCTGGGCCGCGCCGATGCTGGCCTTGACGGCGCAGTAGCGAATCAGGGCGGCCAGCTCCTCGCGGTCCAGCAGACCATTGGAATTGGCGTCGCTCGAGTGGAAAGCCTCCCGGAGCCAGGCCAGCGGGGCGGACACCGCGGCCACGAAGCACAGGTACTCGCTGAAGGACACCAACCCATCGCCATCCAAGTCCGCCAGGGCGAGGACATCGCGCGCCATGGCATCGATCGGGTGGGACCCGGGCCCGGTGGCGGTCGATGCCAGGAACTCCTGCAGCCGTTGGCGCACGACCGAGGTGTTGATGCTCGACAGGCCGGCCTCCTCGACGGCCGGCTGGTAGGGCAGCAGCGAGACCATCAGGTCGGCCGGGGTCATGTAGACCACGCGCCCGCCGAAGCCCGGGCTGTAATCCACCGAGGCCAGCCCGGTGCCGGACCCGCGCTCCACCTGGGTCACGGAGGCGAAGTATTGGAAGACCTTGCGCGGGTGGCTCAGCGCGCGTAGACGGTTCTCATAGAGGCCGGTCGAGCGCTCGATCCAAGCGCCCAGCGGGGACCGCGACTCGTGGGAGCCGGCCGCCGGAGTGGCCGGAGCAGCGGCCCCGGCCAGGGAGCCGGCCGTCGGCGGGACAACGCCCGTGCTGGCGGGCCGCGCATCGCAGTGCATGGTCCAGCGCCAGGCCCCGGGCCCCGGCAAAGAGGCGGGGAGGACGCCCGCACCGGCGGGGCGCCGATGCTGCTGGGCGGTGGTCGCGGTCAGGAGGGCGGCCGCGGCACAGCCCGCAAGGGCGAGGGTGCGTGCGCGGGGGAACATGCTGTAAGGGAACAAATGCGGGGAGGAGGAAAG